CTGTTGTCATCAGCTCACTCTCACCTGCTCCCTGTTGTCATCAGCTCATTCTCACCTGCTCCCTGTTGTCATCAGCTCAGCTTTCTGTATTCCCTGTCTCCTCTCAGTCGCAGTCTTTTGTTTGAACCTGGTCTAAATCAGCTTGTTTCTCTCAGATCCTGTTTAGCTTCTTGTGAGTCTCGTGTTGGATCATTTATTTATGCTTGTTTTTTGTCCCATCACAAAACAAATAGGGGGAACTTTAAGTGAAGCACCATCTAGGCATGAGAACGCTTCATTTTGAAAACTGCCATATAAAATCCAAAAAGGCCACCACCATGTATGGATACATTTAAACAGACCATGCCTGTCATCTGAGGAAACTATGACGTGTAGTACTTATATTACTTAAACTATAGTTTCCTAAAACATTTAGGTTTACCTTCATTCCCAGTTCCAGTCCAGAAAAACACTCATCTCCAAAATTACAAACACTTTTCAAATCCCGGCATACCACTGGTATTTGATGTAACTTCTGATTGAACAACTAAAGCAAACCTTTGTTCGGTTGATTTGTTAATCTTTGTTGTCTCTCGCATATTTAATACTGTGGTCGTGACGCTGAATTGTTGAACTTCACAGCTGGACTCCTCATAGGTCAAGAATGATCCTGTATATTTTAGTCATGGGGTCAACGGTTACTCCTCTCTTAAAAGCTCTATGTTGATAACAATTTCACATAAAAACATCATCGTTCACAGCTGGACACCCCATGAATCAACAGTGAGTTGTCATACCTTTCCTCTTGTGTTCGTCTTGTGATTTCTTTGGTTTTCTGGTTCTTGTGTTTCCACTCCATTTCCTCTTTACTCTCCCTTCAGTCAGCCTCTCCAGCCACTGATCACTCACGCCTGTTTGTAATTAGTAATCATCTCAGGTGTCATTACTCAACCATTTCTGTGAATAGCATTAATCACATAAAACCGTCAAACTTTGCAGCCGGACGCCTCATCAGTTAACAATGATCCCTTTCTATTTTAAGGTGATTTCCACAGGAAATGCTAATTCTCTCGTTAAATTAGGTTCTCATACTTTAATTCAGAGCAAAAACACAGAACACGATTCCATCTCTGTTGTTGTTTTTGTTGCGTTGTTGGATTATATTTGATTCATTGAGTGGGGACTGCCAGATTCTACAGTACTATAGAATGGCAGTTACCTGTTATTATCCACATGACAAGGGTTTCTTAACTTTACTGGGAACTGCTGAGAAAGGCAGCCACTTATTATTATCCACCTGAAAAGGGTCTTGGTATTCAATCAACTTTAATGCAGCCCGACCCTCTATGTGTACCCCCACAAATGTTATATTAAAATGACCAGCTCAGCACCGTGATGTGTGCCATTACTTTTATTGGCGTTTCAAGTTACCATTGCAACATAATTTGCAAACAAATGTGCCATTTTTCTCATTCAAAATGCCTGATGGGACCCTTAACAGCCTCTAAATTCCAGTGAGGTCACATGACCTACAATGGAGAGGTCTCTGAAGAAAACACTTGATTTACTTTTGGAGCCATTTTGGGTCAAGATGGCTGCCACAGCTAACTCAGCAAACACAAAACTGACTATAACTCAGTGATTCTTAAGAGATATTGAGCTGAACAGTTTGGTCGTAGCTGCGAGTGAGTTGTTTTACATCCCTAATGCAAATCAAATATCCAAGATGGCCGCCTTAGCTAAAAAGGTAAAAAATAACATAAGTCAGCCATTTTTAGAGCTATTCAGTTGAAATTTGGTGTATTGGTAACTGAGAACAATACACTGACTGGCAATGATAAATCCAAGATGGCCGCCTGAACTGCAAAGATAAAATATTACAAATCATCCATTTTTAGAGATATTACACTGAAAATTGGTGTGACGGTAGCCGAGAACGATGCCCATTATATACTGAATTCAAATCTAAAAATTCAAGATGGCCGCCAAAGCTACATTTTAATGGCTAAATCGGCAGCAGCCTGCCAGTCCCCATCGAAGTTTCTCCAGGAACTTTCTAGCTCGTAATACGATCTTAAAAAGGTAAACTTGGTCAACTAGATAAAAAAGATATAAACAGTCCCAATGAACAGATTCAGCCCTCGGCTGCAGAGATCTGATCAATAATATATTATTAACAGTAAAACACACACGTATGGTGTTCTTCCAGGAATCACTGGGATCAACAGCACAGAAAAACAGTGGCAGATGTGTTGCTTCACTAACGGCACGCCAAGAAGAAGCTTATCAACGATTTGAGAATAAATAGTAACAAATGTTTCCTCTGCCTCAGAGTTTACGTCCAGAGGATTTTTATCAGCCGCTGCAGAGGCCAGCCAGGGATAAACATTCGGAGTAACCTTTGCTCACTTGTTTTTGTCCTCCTTCCTCAGGAGTTTGTACCATCTGTGCATGTGGCTGTCTGTTAGCAAAATATCCCATGAACCACAGGACAGATTTTAATACAAACTGCAGAAGTCATCATTGGATGCAACTGATGAACTTTTGGAGCCAAACGACCTTCAAAAACACAAACATCTCATTGACTCGTTTTACTGAGCTACAACTTGTGGTGGTAGTAGCTGTGAGTTATTTACAAAACATACTCTGAGGGCGACATTTAGCTGTTTTCAAGCTTTGACCTAAACGCCTACAACTCCATCATTTCTGAGCATAAAGATGATTTGAGTCTAAAGGCGGCGGGTGATATGCATTCCTTTGAGGAGTGCTGGACTGTCTGTCCTTTTACGTTTTAGTTGATTTTCCAGGAAACGTGTGAAACAACGTAAACTGAGCTCAAACGTTACTTTATTTACAGACACGGGAAGTGCGAGAACATACTTGGTGAAAGCACAAAGTTTCTAAATGAGGACAATCAGACCTTCTGAATTTATCTGAGGCTGCAGAATGTTTCACAAACGCTTCCAGCTGGTGTCCAGGCTTCGTGTTCTGCTGTTCAGCACAAAGACGAAGCTAATCCAACCGTCTTCTGTGGATCTGCACATCTTCACGTGAACAAAAACTACAAAGATATGCAACAATAGCAAGAACAGATTTGTTGGTACCCTTAAAGGGATGAATAATGTTTGCGTAAGCTGCCAATTTTATTAAAAAGTAGAAGGTTCATGGGACTGTAGGCAACCTCTTGGGATGTGGATGCAAGACGAAATGCGACCCCAGGTTAATCAAAGTGCGGAAAGCAGAAAAAAAACAAACATCGAAACTGAACTCAAAGGTGAAAGTTCTGATCAGCTGACGACCCAGGAGGGTCCTCTAATGACAGATTATCTCAACGCACGTTGACGAGAACCGATGAGACCATCATCCGGTTGAGATTATTGTGGAAGGGTACCATTTTCACCAGGAAGTCTAGAGACGTGGGACTGAGTCCAAACACCTGGGATCTGTGGTACCCAGCCCACATGAGCAGATCCTCGTCCTCCAGGACTTCAGCGGCCTTAACAGATTAAAACAGTTTCGAAGACAGATCAGAGTTTAGTCAGCGTGGACATTTACTCGTCCGTGGAATGAGTCCAGAATCAGTGAGACAGTTGGACACCTGGACGCAGTATTACTGCTGCAGGACAGAGGGAGGAGACGGTGGTGGAAAACCAGTTAGTCTCAGGTCCAGACAGAGGTGTCCGCTCATTTCTTGAAGAACTTCAGGTAAATCACAGCCCCCAGAATGGCCAGCTCCATCAGAATGATGATGGCTAACAGAAGCTTGTTCGTCATCAGCCTGCAGGACAGAGAACAGGTCCACAATCAGACAAGGTTCTGGTCCATGTTTACTCTGAAACCTGTGAAGTAGAGAACAGTATCTAAAGACACATTTCTGTTTATTGTATGTTCAGTCTTTTATTCTGAAGTTCACCTGCTGGTTTAGCTAGTGTGTATACATATGTGTTGAGTCTTTTATTTTGAAGGGCACAGTAACGGGTCGGGTTTTTTTCTGTAACGGCGAGTGAGAAGGAAAATAAAAAGATTATTTTATGGTGTAACAAAATCCATGAGGAACATTCAGAACGACCCCGTCTGGAATCACTTCAATGATTCAAAGAACGAGCTGAACGTCCAGCCTCGTTCTACAGAACTTCTTACCGTCGAGACATGGCCCGCAGAACCTTTCTGCTCCGGCTCAGGTTCTCTCCTGTGTTCACCAGCTGCAGGAGGACAGAGGAGCTTCAACGATGGGACCACAGACACGCTCTCATGATCACAGCAACTAAAGACTTTTTCTACAGCGGGCAGCCTCAGCTGGCTCCTTGCAACTGAAACGTAGGTCCATTTATCACAGAACTGTGAGAAGATGAAGGTTTTCACTGATCTGGGTCAGGTGGGTCCTGACTCCAGACCAGCTGCAGACAGACTAAAACAGAGGACATGATGTCCAGCTCACTCTGTCTCTGGTTCGGTCCAGCTGTTCCCTCTGTTCTCCCAGTTCATCGATGATGTTGGTTCCGATCTGCTCCGTCTCCACGGCGATGCGCTGGCTTCGCTCGATGCTCTGGGTGGCGTTGTTCAAATGCTCTGTGCCCTCAAGCAACAGAGCCCTCTGGGTCTGCTGCTGCGTCTGCAGAGGACACGAGGGACAAACTCAGAAACAAAAATGAATGAATCATCAGGAAGGTCTTTAACTCACAACTGTCCTTCCTGACAACCTGGGCTCAAACCTGCAGCCTCAGGATTATGAGACCGCAGCACTGACCGCTGAGCTACTACGGCCCTTCTGCAGACTTTGTGCCAATTTAACTGTTTATATGTGAAAACCTTCTGTGTTTGATTTATTTTCAAATTATTGAAGCTTTTCTTTTACAAACATTTTCTTTAATTCCTTCAAAGTTTTCATCTGCTTCGGCTACTGTCGGCAACTGTCGGCTACTGTCTCTGTTTTTGTCTTCTGTAGCTACCGTTAGCTACAGTTCTGCTAGTTCTAGATTCTAGTTATCTTTTTGCTGTCGGTTGATGCTCTTTCATTAAAGAGGTGTAACGTCGTTCAGACAGGGTCCCATCGATCTGCGAGCCTGAGTTCAGTTTCTGGTTGTCCAGTAGTACCCGGATTAAAGACCAGTGGTACCAGGATTAAACACCAGTAATACCAGGATTAAAGACCAGTGGTACCAGGATTAAAGACCAGTAACACCAGGATTAAAGACAAGAGGTACCAGGATTAAATAAAGACCAGTGGTACCAGGATAAAACACCAGTAATACCAGGATTAAAGACCTGTGGTACCAGGATTAAATACCAGTGGTAACAGGATTAAAGACCAGTGATACCAGGATTAAATACCAATGATATCAGGATAAAAAACCAGAGGTACCAGGATTAAATAAAGACAAATGGTACCAGGATTAAAGACCAGTGATACAAAGATTAAAGCCCAGTGGTACCAGGATTAAAGACCAGTGGTACCAGGATTAAATAAAG